TTTAGCCATTGTATTTTCAAATATGAAAGACTCTAATTATATTATACCATTTGAAGTTGTCCCAGAGCTCACCGATGCTTTTTTCTTTTAATGTTTTTTTTCTCAGTCTCTTTGTCTACTAATATTAACAGGTGTGTTAGTTCGGGTTCAATTTCCATTGATTGATTTTTCTCCTCATTTTGTGTTGCATGTTCTTGCATCTTTGCATGAAGATAATGTTCTATCAGATACCTTATCCTGTGAATTTTACCTTGCTGAGTCATGGTTATTTTTGTATTTGTATAATATTCTTGTCTTATTTTTCTCTCATGCATTTATGTTAGTTGGCATTTTGATCCATTTGAGTCTTCTTTTTAAGATTTGTTAAGGCAGGACAAAAGTAGTGGTTTAGGCTAGGGTTAACTATCTCCCTCTGTTAACGAAAGATGCTTCTGTGTGTTCTACACAGTTCCTAAGATTATGAGGTTTTCCAGTCTGGCTAGTAGGAACGGGCCATATGCCCAGTATGGTGTGAGCATTAAATATATGCCAATTTATCCTTTTAAGTGATTCATTTCCTGACCTTGGGTATATTTCTTATATGTATGTGCTGATCAATACTCTGCTAAATACTCAGGACAATCCTGTGAACATCTTTGGAGCTCTGCCTCTGTGCAGGCCTCTCTTTTCCGGTACTTCATTATGGCCTCAACATTCTCTCAAGGCAGTGAGCTACGGTGGTGTAGCTCTCATCTTGTGGTTTTCATCCACTCAGGGATCACTGGTCTTTGTTGCCTGATGTCACGTTTCTTAATAAGTGCTTTTTCACATATGTGTTTTATTTGTGGATTCAAGTAGGAAGGTAAATTTGGTCCTTTCACTCCATCTTGGCCAAAAGCAGAAGTGCTAAGTTTTCAACAGAGGTTTTTCTTATCTTCCACGCCTGAATCACCCAGGGAAACTAGGCACCTCATTTCTCACATTAATTTCTTTTTGTTTTTTTAAGTACTAGTACTTTTTTATTAGTTTCCGGTATACAGAACAATGTAACAGTTAGGCATTTATACCCCTCACAAAGTGATAATCCCCCAATATACCCATCTGACATCGTATATAGCTGCAATAATCACATCAATTTCTATAAATGTCAGAACACGATGTGTTAACAAATAAACCTTGATAGTAAAATAAGGGTAACTTGAACACAAGCACTGCGATAGCATCACAGTCGATCTGATAACCAAGACAGCTATTAAATGACTAATAGGCAGGTAGTGTACATAATATGGATATGCTAGATAAAAGGATGATTCACATCTTGGTGGGACAGAGCACGACAACACAAGATTTCATCAAGTTGCTCAAAACACCATGCAATTTAAAACTTATGCATTGTTTATTTCTGGAATTTTCCATTTAATATTTTTGGACCATGTCTGACGACAAGTCACTGAAACAGTGGGAAGCAAAACCACAGATAAGGGTGACTACTGTAATATTTCTGTACTTCAGACAAACTGTATAATGCTGACATCATTAGATTGTGATTTGTTACATACATTATGTAATACCAAAGCAACCACTAAAACATCTATATAAAAATACTTGAAAGCACTGTGGACAAATCAAAGTGGAATTCTAAACAATGGCCAAGTAACTCACAGAAAAGCAGCACAGTGAAACAGAAATGAAAACTAGAGGGATTAAATAAAAACCAATAAAATCATAGACTCATACTCTAACTTATCAAAAAGTACATTAAATGTAAATAGTATAAATACATCAATTTAAAAACAGAGATTGGCAGGAGGGATTAAAGCAAACAGACATTAGCCAACAATGAGCTATAACCAAGAAATTCACTTCAAATAAAATAATATAGGTAGCTTGAAAGTAAAAGGATGAAGAAAGGCATATCATGCAAATGTTAATCAAAAGAAAGCAGAAGTAGCTTTATTAATATCAGATGAAATAGATTTCAGAACAAAGACAATACTAGAGACAGAGAATGGCATTACATAATGATAAACTGATTAATCCATCACAAAGAAATTGTAATAAAATTTTGGACTCCACAGAAAACACACCTTTAACTTACAGGAAAGAAAGCCAATATAACTTTAAAAAGAAATAGGAAAGTCCTGAACTACATTTGGAGATTTCAATACTCTTCTCTCAACAGACAGAAAATCAGCAAGGATAAAGAGAACTTATATTATTATTATTAGCCAACTAGGACCTCATTGACTTTTATAGAACACTCCTCCATTCAACAACCAGAGAATACAGTCTTATCAAGTGCCTATGGAACATTAACCAAGATTGACCACATCTTGAACTATAAAATAAAAACTCAACCAATTAAAGAGAACTGAAATTATATAGATTATGTCCTCAGAACACAATGATATCAAAACAGTTATCTACAGCAAAAGAGAACAAGAAACTTTTTAAGTACTTGGAAATTAAACACACTTGTAAATAATACATGAGTCAAAGAGGAAGTCGTGAGGAAAATTTAAATATAGATAAAATGTTTTATAATATATATCGCATTATATAATATATATATAATATATTATATTAAAACCTATTCAATGCAGTAAAGGAAGTGCTGAGAGGGAAATGTGTAGCACTAAGTGGTTATATTAAATAAGAGGAAAGCTCTCAAATGGATAATCTAAATTCTACCTAAAGAAATAAGAGAAAAAGTAAAATACATGCAGAAGGAAAAAATAATGAAGAGAAGAAATCAATGAAGTTGCAAATGGAAAAACAGAAAAAAAAATAAATGGAATAAAAAGCTGATTCTTTTAAAAGATCAATATATAAACAATGGCACAAATTACCAATATCCGGAATGAATCCAGGATATCACTACAGACCTTGCACACATATACTATGAACAACTCTATACACATTTGACATCCATAAGCAAAAAGATAGTGAATTTTGACCTAAACTTTATACCTTATACAAAATATTAAAATAAAATGAATCACATATTTAAATGCAAAAACCTAAATCTATAAAACTTTTAAAAGAAAAAGTGGAGAAAGTTCTTAGAACCTACAGCTGGATGAGGCTTCCTAATATGGTGGATTATTTTGATTAGACACGACACCAAAACCACAGCAATAAAAGAAAAAGTCAATAAATTTATGCTCATCAAAATTAAAAACTTATGTCCTGTAAAATACCTTGTTAAGAAATGAAAAGACAAGCTACAGAGTAGATAAAAATATATGCAAACCACTTATCTCAGAAAGAACTCCTGCCTAGAATATATAAAGAACTCTCAAAACTCAACTGCAAAAAAAAAAAAATTTAATTAGAAAATGAAGACTGAACAGATATTTTATCACAAGGAAATACAGATGAAAATAAACACATGAAAATATGTTCAACACCCTTAGCCACAAGGAAAAAGCAAATTTAAAAAAACCGCAATGTGATATCACCACAGAACAATTAGAAAAGCTATTATAAGAAATAAAAAATAGTGCCGATATCAAATACTGGAGAAAATGTGTAGAAACTATATCTGTCATACTTTGCTGGTGGAAACATAAAATGGTACAGCCACTCTTGAAAATAGTTTGGCACTCTTATTCTAAAAAATTAAACGTATATTTAATAAGAAAACCACCAATCGCAGTCTGGGCACATTTTGAGGGGTTTTTTGGTTTTTGGTTTTTGTTGTTTAAGTGCTTATCAAAACTTTATTTGGCTCATTAGTAGGCTCATATGAAAGAATTGTTTTCCTTCCATTTGATAGTTTTTTGTTAATTTTTATTAAATTTATTGGGGTGGCATTGGTTAGTAAATTATATAGGTTTCAGGTGTACAATTCTGTAATATATCATCTATATATCACATTGTGAGTTCACCACCCAGAGTCAGTTCTCCTTCCATCACTATATATTTGACCCCCTTTTTTCTCTTCTACCACCCCCTCTCCTCCTACCCCTTTACCTTCTGGTAACCACTAAACTGTTGTTGTATCCATGAGGTTTTGTTTGCTGCGTTCAGTTTTGTAGCCCACATATGAGTGAAGTCATATTGGTCTCAACTTTTTCTGTCTGACTTATGTTGCTTAGCATGATAATCTCAAGATCAACAGGACAAGTAATGCACAAGTGTTGGAGAGTCTGTGGAGAAAAAGGAACCCTCATACACTGCTAGTGGCAATGTAAAGTGGTACAGCTACCATGGAAAAGAGTATGGAGGTTACTCAAAATATTAAGAATAGATTTACCATATGACCCAGCAATACTTCTTTTAGGTATCTACCCCAAAAATCTGAAAACATTTATCCATAAAGATATATGTACCCCATATGTTCACTGCAGCATTATTCACAGTGGAATAATGTCTTTCACAAGACATGGAAACCAAAGTGTCCTTCAATAAATGATTGGATAAAGAAGATGTGGTACATATACACAATGGAAATACAATACTCAGCCATAAGTAAAGATGAAATACTGCCATTTGCGACAACATGGATGGATCCTGGACACTTTTTCTTTTTCCTTTTATCTTAGAAGAAGAAAAACATATTGCTACACAAAAACCTGATCACACATATTCATTGCAGCTTTATTTGTAATAGACCAAACTTGTAAACATCCAAATTTCCATCAATAATTAAAGATTAAACAAACTATGGTACATCCATACAGCATACTTCTCAGCAATAAATATACTGACACATGAAACAGTGTAGATGGATCTCAAGGGAATTATGTTGCGTTAACAGGAAGCCAATCTCAAAATAGTTACATACTTTGAAATTTTCTTTTTTAACATTCTTGAAATGACAAAATTATAGAGATAGAGAACAAATTAGTAAGTGCCAGGTGTTAGGGATAGGGTGGTAGAGTGAGTGTGAATTTAAAGGATTAGCATGAGGGATCGTTGTGGTGGTGGAAGAATTATATATACTGATTGTGGGGGTGGTTACTTCAATTTACCCATGTAACAATTTGCATACAACTACACAAAATAAATGCATGCAAAACTATTGAAATCTTAAGTTCTATTGGTTGTATCAATGTCAATATCTTGATTTTGATAATTGTAGTATATTTATGTAAATAATTACTAGTGGGGAAACTAGGTGAAGTTTATACAGGACCTCTGTGCACTACTTTTGTAAACTCTTGAGAACCTACAATCACTTTAAAATAAAAATATTTTTAAAAACCATCTTACCAATAAGAGCTACATTAAGACATTGTCAGTTTTGTCAAAAATTGTTTCTGGACTCTATTCTGTTCCACTGGGTTTTTTCTTTCCCCTTGTGCTAATACCGTAATGTCTGTAATGTAGCTTTATGATGTTTTGATATCTGGTAGAACAAGTCCCATAGCTTTGTTTTACTTTTTAAAGTTTGCCTTAGTTATTTTTGGTTCTTTGAATTGCCATATGAATTTTATAATCAATTTTCACCAGGAAAAATCTACTTGGATTTTCATTAAAAGTGAATTAAATATCAAGATCAACATTCTTTACAATATTGAATCTTTCAGTCCATGGACATTGTATATCTCTCCATGTATTTCTTTTAAAATTTCTCTTAATGTTTTTTTTTATTTTTCAGTGTAGAGATCTTTATATATAATTAATTTATTGAATTTATTTACACATATTTGATATTTTTCATGCTATTTGTTTCTGGAGTATATATGGAAATACAATTTTGTATATTTTCATGGTATCTAGCAACTTTGATAATTTCACTTATTTCTTATAGTTTTGTTTGTACCTTCATTTGAATTTTCTATGCACCCAGTCATGTCATCTGTGAATAACGCTAAATCCAGTCATTACACATTTTATATATCTTTTTGTCTTATATATTTATAGTGTACATATTTTATATACTACCTAACCTCCAGTACATTAAAATGGAAATTAATGAGACATCTTGTTTCATTCCCAATCTTGTGTGAAAGTTTTCAATATTCCACCATTTTACATTGATGTGCTTTTTCTTTTGTAGACACTCTTGATCAAATTAAGGATATTCTATACCTAGTGTTCTAAGAGGCTTTTTCCACTTTTTAATTCTAAATAGGTACTCCTTCTTTACTTATAATATATTTGCATGACCACCTGAATTACTAGACTGAACTCTGACTTATTTCAATCATATTCAATTATATTTTGATTGCCTCTTCTGTACCAGGCCATCTGCTAGGTACTGGACATACAAAGATGAACTGTCAGTGGGTCATAGAATGTTTCTGAAGCAGAACTAAAAAAAAAAAATGACTAACTGTAAACGTGATAAAACATGAAACAGAAATTATATCTTATTAAAATAATAAATTTAAACAAAATTTGATGACTGTCATTAGCATAGCTTTAATCCAAACAAATATGGGCAACTAACTCTAAATTATTTTTATCTTTCAGACTTGGGATGAAGGTTTAGCGAAGGCTGCTAAAGCATGGGCAAACAAGTGCAAATTCGAACACAACTCCTGCTTAAGGGAATCATATGGATGCCATCCGATTTTTGAATATGTTGGAGAAAATATCTGGTTAGGAGGATTAAGCATATTTACACCAAAATTTGCTGTTGTTGCTTGGTATAATGAAACTGAATATTATGATTATAGTAGTTTATCATGTTCTGCAATTTGTGGCCATTATACACAGGTAAATATTTAACATTTTATCGATTAGCTCTTATTTATGCACATTTCAATAAATCACAAGACAAGGTTTTTAGCATTTTCTTTTAAGCTTCTTTTTAGTATTCAGGAAACTCACCTTCATTTGAAAGATATTTTTATTGGATAATAAAATTGGATAAAAACTCCATAGAATTCTATGGAGTTTTGTTTTTTCTGAACTTTTCAAATTACTCCACTGTCATCTTCCTTGCATTATTTCTACATGTCTACTGTAATCCATTTTTTTATTCCTGTGTAAGTAATGTGTCTTTTTTCCCTGATTGACTAAAATGTTTTCTTTAATACAGGTCTGGGGCAATTTCAAAATGTACTAAAGTTTTCTTCACGTTTTTGTGCTGCAGTTTCCTGAGTTTCTTGGAACTATAATCTATAGTTTAAATCAATTTTGGAAAAATTCTGGCAATGTTTCTTGAAATATTTCCATCACTCTCTCTCACTTTTCTCTTCCCAGAATCCAGTTACTTATTGGGGAGGCCATTTGAGCTTTCCCACAGTTCATTACTGCTCTCTTCTCTTTTTTCTTGAATTATTTTCACCCTGTGATTAATTTTATATAGTCTTATTGATGTATATTTAAGTTCATTCATCTTTTCTTCTGTAATGTTTAATCTACTATTAATAACATTTACTTTTAGTTTATTTTTTATCTTAGATGTTAAAGTTTAAATCTCTAAAAGTTTTATTTTTGTCCTTTTTATATCATCAGTAACTATATCTAGGATGTTTAATCTTTCATCTAGCTTTTTAACCATATGAGATACAGTTACACTAATTAATGTTTTCCCTGCTAATACTAACATCTACCGTATTTGCCGGCGTATAAGATGATTTTTTGGCCCTGAAAAATATGCCTCCAAGTGGGGGGTCGTCTTATACGCCAGGTACACTTCAGATAGACTGCCCATAGTGCTTGCCCCGTGCCATAGTGGCCTCCTGATGCCCACCCACTTCATTCCACATACCATTCAGGCATCAGCAGCGCTGCTGGGTGTATGGTCGGCTGTGTGCGATTTTGCGAGTGTGGTAAATTCGGGTTACCGTATATTTCTTTACATATGCATTGAAGATTCGCGATTTTGTGCTATCATGGTGCCTGTTAGAATGTTGAAGAGCTCGCACTTGCGCACTAGTGAGGTCCCAGGGAGATGCTGATGCAAGGGTGGACCAGACTGCTATAGTGACAGGGCGGGCAAACAGGGAGCAGGGACCAATCAAATCAGGCTTTGTATACAGCCAACAGCCAACCACAATACTGCACCATTGTACAGTACAGCATAGAAAATGTCGACCAGTCAAACCCCTATCATCCCTATCATGGCACCAGCCAAAAGAAAGAAGTATGATGCAAATTTTAAACTGAAAGTTATAAACTTTGCTAAGGAAAATAATAATTGTGCTGCTGCAAGACAATATGGAGTAACAGAAAAGATGGTTCGGGACTGGAAATCAAATGAGAAAGCATTAAAGAGTATGCCAAGGGGTAAGTGTGCATTAAGAAGAGGCACCCCACACTGGCCAGAACTCGAAAAACATGTAGCAGACATGGTGGCTCAACATCGCCAAAACGGTTATGTGGTGACACGAAATACAATACGCTTGTTTGCACTTCAGTGGGCCAAATCAAATCTGATATTGTTTTACCTTTTATTTGGTGTGTGGAAGGTGTGCGGAAGAGGGGGTAGTCTTATACGGCGAGTATATAACAAACTCTGTATTTTGAGTGGAAATGTTAGGGGGTCGTCTTATACGCCCAGTCGTCTTATACGCTGGCAAATACGGTATGTTAGTTCTGGTGTAGCTAGAATGAACTGATTTTTCCTCTTTGTTATAGTTTATTAACTTCCTAAAATACTCAAAAGGAGTGGGTATTTTAAGGATCTTGCTTTATCTCATTTGATTAAGTGGGGAAACTAGCTCAGAATCAATCTGTCACTCTCCAAAGCCACGCACATGATTAGAAGCAAAACTTATTTTTTCTCAGTTCACTGGGCTTTTACTGCATTTTGCTGCCTCTCAGACAAACAGCCACTAAAATATCTTTTGCAAAACTGCTGATTACTGCTACACCCAGGCCCTGGGAAACAGTGATTAACACATCACTTTACAAAATACGTCAATACATTTTGATAATTAAATTGTGAAATAAATAAGTCCAGAAAATTGATTTGTGCTGTCAAATCTACATCAATGTTTCTTGGATTTTTTTTTCCCAAATGGAATAAATAAGTGTTTTTCCCATCGTTCATTGTGGAAATGGAGGAAAATTCCATTCTGTCATTATCACAAAGGAATAGTAATGTTTTCACCTCTTTATCTTTCTCCCCCTGGTTTGTTTTCCAGAGAAATATTTTGTTTTTGTTTTTTTTAATAACCGCTATTCTTTGCAACTAAACAAAAATAAAGATTCACCATCCTCATGGCAAGCATTTTTTTTCTGCAATAAACTCAGTATGTACTTAATCTCTATCCTTATCTGTCTCATGATTTGACAGAGGTAAGAATATGGTTAAGACCACAAAATTTAGTGATCATAAACTAAGCAGAATGTTTCAGAGAAAAAAAAGTTAATTATTGTTTTCATTTATTGTGAAATGAAATCATTTCATTGATTTTAATATTGTTTGTATGATATACCCAATGGGAAAATAAAAATGTACTTCATAAATCATCTAGAAGTAATTACTGTTTTGGCTATATATTATATTCTTTTGATTTATGAAGATTTAGTTAGTAGCCTTCAAAAAAGCAGCCTTTAAAAATTTAAACTAAATATTAGAAATTAAGAAAAAAGTAGCCAATAATTATTTGGGTACATTCATTTTTTGTAGCATGACAAAGATTATACCTATTCCCATAATGCACTGTTTGCATAGCTGTTTGGCATATTTTATGTAAAAATTCCTTTCCTTACAGGTAGTTTGGGCCAATTCATATAAAGTTGGTTGTGCAATTACAATGTGTCCTCACCTTGGGACAGCTGAAACTGCAATATTTGTATGTAACTATGGACCTACGTAAGTTATTTTGCTATTAAAAATATTTTATACTGAAATAAATGTTATGAATTGTTTCCAAAAATAGAATCTTATATTAAAAAGACAATATTTTGGCAAGTGAAGTCTCCCTCTATAATGCTAAACAAAAGGAATAGATGAAAATAGAAAGCAGTAAGAGAATATAACTCTGTGCAAAGAATCATACCTGTCATGAAATATTAAACTTGAGAGGGAAAATGATGGAGATTGTTTGTTAAGCAAAAAAAGAGATAATATAAAATATATTGCCACACTATTATTCTAAATACTGGGACACAAAATAGATGGGCAGATGCTTCACTAATATTATATAACATAACTGGAATGAGTAAATAATTGGGAATGATGGTGAAAAGCACATCTTCTAAGAAAAAATAACATAATTTTTAATTGCCTTGCTGAGAATTGCATATCTAAATAGCAATACAACATAAGCCTAATGAAAGGCTCCAAAATGAAACTTGGAACTTTGATTGCATTGAATCCGTACAAGGAAGAAGACAAAATCTACTAACAATCCACTCTTTAACAAACAAAAACTTTTAAATAAAATGTAGAAAAGATGAAAAAACAGGCAAAGAATAAATATACAGGATTGGTAAAAAAAAAAAAAAAGCTGAGCTATTCCAAAATTGCTATGGAGGGGCACAAATGTGCATATCTCTTTCTGTATTTTCGGCCACTCCCTCTCAGAAGCAAGAATGATAAATGCATAACTTAACGAGAAGGGAAACAAAGGACAGATTAAACTAAGAAAATAAATTAGAAGATGACAGACTCAACCTTACCTATGTCAATAATCACATCCAATGTAAGTAGTACAAACACACAAATGAAAAGGCAGAGATTATGAGACTGGATAAGAAATTGAGAACCAATTGTACCCTGCCTACAAGAAGCATACTTTAAATATAAAGACACAAACAGATGAAAAGAAAAAGGATGGGAAAAGGTTTACAATGCTAACATTAGTCAAAATAAAGCTGCAGTAGACATCAGGTAGTATAGACTTCAGAGCAAAAAATGTTACCAGGAATAAAAAAAAAAGGCCATTACAAAATGATAATGGGGTTAATTAATTAATCAAGAGACAACTTGGAAAAAGTGGGGGAAATTCCTCAAAAGACACATATTACATAAGAGAAATAAAATGAAAAAATAATTACAAAGGAGACTCTCTTATGAACAAAAATTCTAAACAAAATTTAGCAATGCAACAATATAGTAAAAGCATAATATACCTTGTCCAAATGAAGTTTATTCCAGGAATGTAGGGCTGGTTTAACATTCTAAAATCAATCAATGTAATTTGCCATATTAGTCAACCTAAAAATTAAAGACCATATGATCATCTCAATAGATTGAAAAAAAGACAAACATTCATTTTTAATAAAAGTTCTCTGCCAACAAGAAACAGAAGGAAACTGCTTAAACCTAATAAAAGACATCTATGAAAAACCTGTATGTAACATTATATCTAATAGTAAAATTTTTTTTGTAAAGTAGCAGGCAATACTTTTTCTTTAAATGACAGATAGTAAATATGTTAGGCTTTCCATAACACATACATTCTGTTATATATTCATCTTTGTGTTTTTGTATTGTTTTAAATAACCCCTTAAATATTTTTTAAAATTCTTAGCTCACAGACTGCACAAAAACAGACCACAGGCCAGATTTGGCCTATGGGCCACACTTTGCTGACTGCTGGTTTATAGGTCTATATAGAAAAGCCAATGGAATCTATGAAAACTTCTAAAATTGATAAGTTTAGCAGTTTTTCGAGATACAAGATCAAAATACAAAACTCAACTACATATCCATATATTAGCAATGGATAAGCATAAATTAAATTAAAATGACAATGCCATTTATAACAGCATCAAAAAAATATAAATTACCTGGGGATAAATCTGTCAGAAGACATGAAAGACCTGTAGACTGAAAATTATATAATATTCATGACAGAAATTAATACGGACATAAATAATTAGAGAGCCATACCTTATTAACAGGTTAAAAGACTCAATATTGTTAAGATATAATTTTTCACTTAATCACTTTATAGATTAAATACAATACCAGTAAAAATCCCAGCAAATTGATCCTAAAACTCATATGGAAATGCAAAGGATTTAGAATAGCCGAAACAATTAAGAAAAAGAATGAATTTCAGGACTGACATTATTGTTTTCAAGAATTATTATAACTAGAATAATCACAACATTGTGATACTGACATAAAGATAGACAAATAGATCAGTGGAACAGAATAAGGAGTCCAGAAATAAACCCACACATGGTTGACCACCTATGTTCAGCTGTTTTTTCACAAATGCACAAAGGCAATGCAGTGGAAAAAATTTTTCAGCATATGGCGCTGGAACAATTTGTCATCCATATATAAAAACAAAAGTATACTTGGATCTATACAACATAGAACCTACAAAAATTAACTCAAATGAATCATAGGCCTATAAGTAAAATGTAAACTATAAAACATTTAGAAAAAAACATGGATGAAATCTTTGTGACCTAAGATAGCCCAAAATTTTCAGCTACCACACCAAAAATATGATCAATAAAAGAGCAAATTCATAAGTTAGATTTCAATAAAATTTAAAATTACTGCTATTCAAAGACACTGTAATAAAATGAAAAAAACAATCTACAGACTGAAAGAAAATCTTTGCAAAACATCAGATAAAGGATTTATACTGAGAAATCAGGAAAAACTGTCACAACTGAATATTAGAAAAATCACAAACAGAGATGGAAAAAAAAGAGGTTTGTTAAAATGTATCAGCTTATATTATTGAGAAGCAGGCATAACAGTTGCCAAAATGTTGATCAAATGGAACCATATTTTGGTGCATCATCAAACAGAACTAGAGGACTATGCTATTGTACTTTTATATTAAACCATAAAGCATACATTTCCAATTGCAATTTAAATTTTGCTTATTCCATTTACAAAAACAAGATAATCCCAGTGTTTTACAACAAAAAATTTGTGACTGTCACATACACAATTACACTGGGTTCCATCTAATTTGTGTTCCACTAAATATTCAATAATATAATTGCCATGTATATTAGACATACCCTGTAAAGAACAGTTTTATTAGTTTTTTTATTTCTCTTTTTACAAAAGAAATGAGCATAAAATTGGAAGGAAAATTGTTATTTTTCATTTGTAACACTCATGATTTACTGAGTAACCAAACCCACTTGCATATATGCACGCAACTAGAGAAATTAATAGCCATTTGGCTGATCAATGCTTCTCTTTCTTACAGAGGAAATATTCGAAATAGGCCCCCTTATGCTAAAGGAGCATCCTGCTCTATGTGCGAAGAAGAAGAAACTTGCGTAAAGAAGCTCTGCCGTAAGCAAAGAGGAAATAAAATATTCGTAATATTTCATTTGAAGAGCAGTTTCCATAAATTCATTATACGTTAAAATTTGGCTCTCCTCACTTTACAGAGAATTTATGAATGAGACTGGGTTGATGCTATATGGTGATATAAATCATTTGTCACAAATTATCATATTTGAACTCTGATGTTCTCTCTCTCCTTTCTTCACTGATGATTTTCCCTCTCAGGCTAATGGGCAGAAAGGAGTGAAATATAACTGGGACCAATGTGGTGCTACACAATATATAATTGCTGCTATACAAATGACTCTCAGCGGAAATGTTTCTTATTTGTATTTGCTTCCATTTGCCTCCTTTCATTAGTTATTATTAAAATAGTGACTCACTGAGAAGTAATATATTAATCAATGTCCAAATTAATTGTGATTTAGAACTAATGTTTCTCTTCCATCACCAGCCTTTTGGTTCTCAGAACAAAGATACTTTTTAAGGATAAGTGTATACATTTTTGGTTGAGGACAGAGTGAAATGGGTGAAAGGAGGAGATGATTTAGAAATCGTGAAAAAGAAAAAACAATGCGATGCCACAAAACAAGACAGAAACAAAAATGCATATTAAATGATTCTATTTCTTATAAAGTTGAAAATCAGGAAAAACTAATTTACATTTGGAGACAGAATAGCAGTTGCCTTTTGAAAGGAAAGAGGAGTTAGTAGTAATTAGAAGAGGATACCAAAAAGTTACCTAGGTGTGTCCACTTGGTAATAATCTATCCAACTTTCCATTTATGAAGTATGTGTGTTCCTATATTCATATTATACTTCAATTAAGGAGTAAATTAGAGGTACTATACCTCTAATTTCAAATCTCATTTAAAGCAATTTAAAAGATAAACTTATTGGCATTATCTCCCACTTGGAAACTAATGTTTTCTAGTCAAAGAGATATAGAGATAACAATGATACTCTTTTTTTTTCACTTCTCTTCCTGCCAAGTATTCAAATCACTGTCATTTCTCTCCTGAATTAGCCATCTCCCACTTCTCTTCCTACTCAATTTCAAACTGTTTTATGCAGAGAGAATCAGATCATATCACTTCTTTTCTTAAAATTTCTCAATTGCTTCATATTGCAATTAAAGAAAAGTCTGACTCTACACCGTGTGGCCACAAGCCCAAGATGATCTGGCACTTGCCTCTCTCTCCTACAGTATTGTTTTTGTTGTTATCCATCCTTTGACATATTAACCCCCATTATCACCACCTTCAAATACTCCAAACTCTTTCTAAATCCTCCAGCATCTGAATCACCTGTGGCTCTGTTTATAGTTTCAAGATACTTTTGTTTTCTCTGGTTTTGGTAATATGCTCTGTTTCTTGGTGTGGTACATTCTCTTTAAAGATGGCCACCAACAATTCCTCCCCTCCTTACGTGCATATGCCACTCGGCTCATCAAGAACTGGAGCTTGTTTCTCCTCCGCTTGAATGAGGACCTGACATTGTGTCAGTTCTGGGCCTAGCCTTTAAGAGACCTGGCAGCTTGGCACTGGCTCTCTTGGAAGCACCACAGCATATGGAGAAATCCATGCTCTCCTGCAGGAGAATTTCCACTGAGAAAGGCCATGGAAGAGGAGAGGTCATCTTTTTGTTTCAACCCCAACTGAGCTCCAGTGAAATGCAGCCATATCATTGAACCCTGAGGACTCTACGTAACAGCAGAGAAATTGCCTAGTAGACCCAGACAAACCAGTAACTGTGAGAAATAATAATCAGTTGTTATTGTTTTAAGCAATTAACTTTTGGAAGTTTGTTTCACAGAAGTAATTTGCAGAAACTCTTGATATGACTATTAAGTTCTTATTAAACACCTAACAACATGTGTATTATAAAACAATGTAGAGAATTCTACCTTTTCCTCTGCTGACCAGATGGACACAGGGTTGCTCACCTTAATGCAAACACAACTCTGTCAAGGCTGGGTTACAGTTTATGTAAAGCTTGGCTGCCCCTCTTTCAAGGGTTAGACTTCCAGGGCTTTCCACTGAGACCCTCGTGGGTTCACTGCTGCCTTTCCCTGGTGGGTTCTGAACTCCAATCCCTTATTACTTTAGCACGCTGAAATTATTATTATTATTATTATTATTATTATTATTATTATTATTATTATTATTATTTTTAATCATCTGCTTTGACCTCAAGAGGGTTTCTGCCTCCTGCCTCTCACAGGTCCAAAATTAAACTAATAGCTTGAGTACAAAATGGGCGTCCATTGGGCTCATGCCTCCACCTCTACCTCTCACCTGAATCTTGAGATACTCAGCTCTCCAATTTTATTTCTCGAGCCTCACAAGGCCAACAAAAACTCTGCTGGTTTCTCTGTTTCCCAAAATGCGGCCTCTGCCAGGGCCAAGCCCAGATTTTCACCCCTACACCTGGGCCCAGAAGCAAAACATGGCCCCAGAGAAAGAGCAACTTGCTTAACAACAGCCCACCTCTCTGTAGATTTCCTGCTTTGAAATCTTCACCCTCCAGTCTTTGTTGCTTTAGCAAATCTCTGATGCTATGAAACATTGTTTTGTTGTATTTTATTTGAATTTTCTAGCTGTGCCTGATGACAGCTTTTGTCTGTCACAAACTACTCCTTCAGCAGGTACTGACAATCATCACCATCACACCACAGAAGCTGCAAATGCTACAAGAAGCTTTGATTCCTGGGAGGAGGTGTTCTCCCGATTCATTCCTTTCCCAAATTATTCAGAATATTTGGGCTATTCTTGCCACTTTCCTCTTGCAAATTAATGTTAGGATAAGCTTACCAATTCCACAGAAAGACCCTGAAATTTTGGTTGGAAGTACATTAAACTTACAGATAAATTTAAGAAGAATTAACATCTTTACAGAATTGGCTATTTATATTAATAAAGATAGTTTATTTAGGTCTATTTGAAAATATTTCAGTTAAGTTTTGAAACTTTTTCAGTAAAGTTCTTGCACTATCAAATTAGCTTCCTTAGTAACATCTATTTGTTGCTGTAATAAGTGGTATTTTAAAATTATATTTTCTAATTGATTTTTGCTGATTTATAAAAATATAAATTATTTTTATATTAGTCTACTATCCAAGAATCTTATGTAATGCTCTTATTATTTCTAATAGTTTGTTGATTCACTTGGATTTTCTATAACAATCATATGTTATTCATAAAAAATGCAAGTTTTGTTCTGTCTTCTAATCTTTATATGAGTTATTTACTTTACCAACATGAAAACTCTTGAATCCTCTCGTGAAACATTGAACATGAGCTGTAATAGGAGACACACATTCTCTTCTTCCTGACTTTAGGGACAATGTTTCACCATTACACATATTTTCTTTAGATGGTTTTTCATTAGTCCTCATGGCCAAGTTACAGAAGTTTTCTCTTTTCCTTATTTTGCTATGCGCTTTTTATCTTGAATGAATGTTTAATTTTACCAGATATTTTTTCTGCACCTCTTGAAATTATCCCCAATTTTTTTCCTTTAATGTCTTAATTGTGTAAACTACATCAAAAAATGTATTTTTTTTTCTTTTTGGAATCTGTTTTGGAAGTAATACTTCTTAACTTTTTTTTAAATGTATTTGTGCTTTCAATTCCTCTTTGAGTAAATACAATTTTTAAAAAGTTGGTCCATTTCACTAATACAATAATTTTCGAGTTATTGTAAAGAGAGAGGTATGTGGTTTTTTTAAATTTTTTAAATCTTCTATATATATTTCCTGTTTCGCTTTTGTTTAGTCATTGTTTTCCTTTGTTCTTATTTTTAAACCACTTTATTTAAAAATGTTTGAATACAAAAAGCTGTACATAAATTTAATGTATACAACATAACCGGTGAGATTTATATACTTCATATAGGTACTGGGAGTTAAGTGATGGCCTGGTAATCCGACTTTTAAACTACTATTTCATGCCCATGATAAATCCAACTTGCACATGAGGTTTCTTTTACAGGTGGCTAGATTCTTGTTAATACTTTACTTATAATTTTTGTATTTAATTTTAGAACTATCATTGGCCTATAAGCGCCTTCATTTCTGCTTATATTATTTTGACTTCAAGATTGTGTAGTAGCTTCATATAAGTTTGAAGCTTAGGAACACTATTCTTTTAATATTTTGGTTACACTTTGCGTAAGATTCCAATTATTTACTTTTTGAATGTTGGGGAAAAATTTTCTGTAAAATGATTTCATTCTGGGATCTGTGTGTGTGTGTGTGTGGGGGGGGGTCTTGGTTGATTTAATTACTTTAGAGAAATTTAAAAATTTTATTTTGTCCAATTTTAATGAAATTCTCTTATATTATTTCTGCATTATCTGTTGTGTTTCATTTATTTAATTCCTACAACTTGATTTGTGCCTTTTCTCAATTTGGTGATCAGTTTCTATAGAAAGCTACCTTTTAGCTTTGTTGATTTCTTTTTTGAAAGACAGGGCATATAGCATAATGGTTAAATGTATAGGCCTTGGAGTCAGATGGCTTAACTCAAGAGGTGATTAAGAGGATTAAGTATGATAAATCAAACAAAGTGATTTGAGCGCCCAATAAAGTAAGTTCTCAATAAATTTCAGCTATTATTATAGTAGGTTCCTCATTATTTTCTATCTTTTAACCCAGCTTATTTTTTTCATAGCACTAATAATTCTCTGAAATGATACTTTTTATTCATTTCTACTTATTTATTCCATTTTAAAATTGATAAGAGGTTTTCTCCCCTATTTTTCTGTATGGAACTTTCTTTTTTCCTGATAACCATTATATCCAAAGGCTAGAATCTTGCTCACTACACAGACATCAAAAAATAAATAAATAAATTTTTTTAATTAAGTTAATTAATTTCTAACAAGAATCCTATTAGAATGCAGGAGAAAAAAACTGATGGAGAAACACACACAGCAAAATTTGGAGGGTTCTAGGTACCCAAAACCTAGCATGAAAAAATTACTTTGGCAGAGTGCCAAAAATAAAGTTAACTAATGGATATAGTTTTATCTGTTTGGTTTTTGTGCCTTCAATACAAGTGGCATTCTAGAAATATTTGTGAATATAACATTGCTGGCAAGGGGTACCATACAGATTTTTAAACACTGTGGGATTTGGGGGGGAAGCTTTCATTTTCTTAAAGCCAGGCTAAGTTTCCTAAGTTGATTATCTTATTCTAAAGGTAGGAAAAGCAAGTGAATGCTTTTAATTTTATAATATTTTTTTCTATTTTAGGAAATAAGGAACTTGATAGATCTGAACGTACATATCAAAATATTTCAGCTTTGATTCAATTATTTCCTCTCACTGAAACGAAATTGAGCTCTTAACCATTATGTTTTATTGACAGAATATGAAAATTGGAGTCCACAGGGAAAAGCACCTCAATGGAGAGCATGTAATCTCCTGTGCCTAGTTTATGTTCTACTGAGCATGTTTTAATATTCATTTATGTACAAGAGAAATTCTCAAGTATAACAATAAAGGAAATATATGGCTAAATGCAACTCTCATCACTTTCATAATTAAAATTTGTAATTTCTTGTCTGTTATCTAAATTTAATGTCGGTTTTTCATTCAAAAGATGTACTGCAGTACAGAAGAAGGGTAGCAGTAAAAACAAATCTTAAGGTTATTTTTTATCATAATTTTACATGTATCAAAAGAGTCTCATTCTCTAACATTCTAGGTTGCATTTTTGTTACAGTAGATCTAAAGAACTAAACATTTCTGACATTAGGTACTTTCCTTATACACCAGTAGTTTCCTTTAAGAATACCACCAACAACACTCAGAAACAAAATGTCATTAAGGTAAGTTTCAGGTAGCACATAATGCTGTATTATGTACACAATCAATATTTGGGGAAATGGATGAGAACAGATTAAATTCAAAAAGGGAAATCAATTAAATTTTAAAACTAAGAAAGGTAAATGTATGTTTTAAAAATTAAAATCACATTCTTTTAGGATATTTTATTTTAAAATCTTCCCTGTGTTAAAAAATCAGAATTCAGATAGCATATCTTTTAAAGCCTTATAAAAAATTATCTGTAGTATTGTTGACATCTTTACAAACCAAAGAATTGCTCAATTCTAGTATCTGTCTTGTCTGAAGACCACACACAAACACACACACACACACACACACACACACACACACACACACACTAGATTATTTAATTAATTTCATTTTAAAAATCATTTACATTGAATTGTTGACCTTTGTTAACTAAATTATCTAGATTTTTTTCATCTCAAATAAAGCAACCACCAATTTCCCTAACCTATAGACATTAAAAATCATTTTTAATGTATTTTTAACATGGCTGAGAGATCTTTTGTATATACTGCCGTATACCTAGAAATTCCCACATTGCCGGGTAATTGATGCTAGTGTCCAAAAGAAAGCCAAGTGATTTTTGTATTTCAAATTTGCTTGTATTAGATTTCTCAAGAGAAGCAGAATTAACAGGGGGGAGATTGAGAGAGAGAGAGACAGAAAGAGAAGAAAGAAAAGGGAGAGATTTTTAGGAATTGATTTAAAGGATGTTGTGGACAGCAAGTAGAAACTCTATAGGGCAAATTGGCAGGATGGAGATTGAAGTAAGAGTTGCTTTTGCAGCCTTGACTCTGAAGCCTGGAAAATAAGGCAGAATTTCTGTGTTGCCGTCTGAAGGCAATATTTCTTCATCAGGAAATCTGTCTTTGCTCTTAAGGCCTTCAGCTGATTGGATGTGCCCCACCCACATATATAGAATAACCTGCTTTACTTAAAGTCAACTGATTATAAATGTTAATCACACTGTTACAACAATATCTAGACTAATGTTGAACCAAACACTAGCCACCATAGTCTAGCCACATTGACACATAAAATTAGCCATCACACTGCTATTTTTTTTGGTATCATAAAAATGGAGTCATTATCATTTTAGTAAATTATCACTACTTACCTATTGCATTATTAAATCTTAAATTATTAATTACTCCTTAATTTGAAGTTTAAAACAGGCTAAAGTTAAATTAACCTATATAGAGTATACTTTTCTATCTGTTGTATTGTCTTTGTGGATTTTAAATTAAACCTTTTCATTTATAATAATTCAAATATCCTCTGATATTTACTATAATTACTCCCTTACTTTTTCAGTCTCCTTATTCATCCAAGCACACATAAGTTCTTTAAATCAGAATAATTGAAATGCTACAGACCACATATAAAATAAATCTTTACAGAATAGTCTGATTTTCTAGGCAATTTCATCATTTTTTACTTCTTTCCTCTGTCTTTGTTTTTACCAACTGAATTACAAAATTGATGCTGGGTAAGTCCCTCAAAATTATAAGTTCAAAATTCCTAAAATAGTTTGCATCTTCAAATTATAACTTATATGTAAAATAGTATCAAGGCTTTAGCATGCTATCCTACACTTACACATGTAAAGTAACCCTTTCTTCCAGGAGTTCATCAGAGGTGATATTCTCAGGCATCTAGCATTGTTTTTGTGGGTCAGTGATTTCACTTAATGCAATTTTGGGCCATCTTAAGAATACACAGAGGGCCGGCCGAGTGGTGCGATGGTTAGGAGCTGGCTTGGGATGCCAGAGGGCCCCGGTTAGGATCCCACGTGTGAGGCCAGTGACACTGCCCTCCACAGCTGAGATGCTGAACAACAGCTCAGCCTGGAGCTGGGCTGCCGTGGGTCACCGGCGACGGCGTAGGCTGCAGCCCTGTGGCAGTGGGTTGCCATGGGCTGCCGTGTGTAGCCAGCAGCCAGCGTGAGCAGCCAGCAGCCGCAGTGAGCGGCCGTCCAGAAGCTGGCGACTGATGTGCCTCGCCCGGGAAGAGCGCAATGATGGTGCCAACTTGGGCCAGTGAAGCGACGTCCTCCACAACTAGACTGAAGAACAAAACGACAGCAACTTGTCTGTTCCCCTTCCCCCAATTCCCCAGCACTGTTCCATCCCCCCAATTCTCCAATAAAAAATCTTTAAAAAAAAATACACAGAGAGGGCCAGCTGAGTGGCATGTTGGTTAAGAGCTGGCTTGGGACGCCAGAGGGCCCCAGTTGGGATCCCACATATATGGGTCAGTGACACTGCCCTCTATAGCTAAGATGCTGAACAACAGCTCAGCCTGGAGCTGGGCTGCCGTGAGGTGCCGGTGACTGCATAGCCTGCAGCCCCTGCTGCAGTGGGTTGCCATGGACTACTGTGTGTAGCCAGCAGCCAGCGTGAGTGGCCAGCAGCCACTGTGAGAGGCCGTCCAGAAGCCCGCGACTGATCTGCCTCGCCAGGGAAGAGCGCAATGATGGTGCCAACTTGGGCCAGTGAAGCGACATCCTCCACAAGTAGATTGAAGAACAAAACGACAGCAACTTGTCTGTTCCCCTTCCCCCGATTCCCCAGTGCTGTTCCCATCCCCCGATTCCCCAATAAAAATCTTTAAAAAAAAAAGAATACACAGAGAACTTTGCTAAAGCAGTGACTAAATGTAATATGTTAGAGGAAGTAAATGTCACTAGATACAATAGTGACAAATACTGTATTGACCATAATAGAAGAAACAATTGACTAACAATGGCATCTAAAATATTTGACAGTTCAAATACCAATTCCAGTCAACTTTTAAATGTTTTGAGCCTTCTTTTTTTATCCTCTTATTGGTTTTTTTTTATTTTTATTAAAATGTAGCAAACATACAATATTATATGTTTCAGGTGTACATCACAGTCAATCAACATTTATATACCTAAAGAAGTTATCACCATAAGTCCAGCAACCATCTGACACTGTACCATGCTATCACAATATTATTGACTATGTTCCCTATGCTGTACATTACATCCCCATGACCTATTTGTTTTATACCTGGGAACTTAAACCTCTTATTCCCCTTGACCTTTTTCACTTTTTAAAAATGTTTCAATTACAGTTGACATTCAATATTACTTTATATTAATTTCTGGTGTATAGCACAGTGGTTAGACATTTAAATGATTTAAGAAGTGATCCTCCTGATTAGTACCCACCTGACACTATACGTAGTTATTATATATCATTGACTATATTCTCCATGATTTAATTTATATCCCTATTACTATTTTGTAACTATCAATTTGTACTTCTTAATACCATCCCCATTTTCACCATCACCCAACACCCTTCCCATCTGGCAACCAACAAAATATTCTCTATAACTATTAGTTGGTTTCTGTTTTGTTTATTTTGTTTTTCAGATTCCACATATAAGCAAAATCATACTACATCTGTGTTTCTCTGTGTTACACTCCACTCAGCACAATACCCTCCAGATCTATCCATGCCACCATTGATGACAAGAACTGGGTACCACATGAACTACTAACTCAAGATAATTCACAGTTTCAATAAGAAACATGCTACGCTCATTCAGTGATGTCACATCTTTGCAAAGCTGGGCTTTCTATAGTCCTGTGATAAAAGACAAGTGCCATGTGGAACAGAAAGTAAGGATGGCAGTATCCTAAACGATTCTAAGGTTTGAGAGACTGTGCAGTGCCCAAAAGGTGTGTATATCCCATTAGCAAGTAATTACAGCTATTTAAGAATGAAACAAAAATGCATTGTTTTCTGATTTATGTGTATAATTTTTTTAAAATGGCCACTAAGGTGTTAGGAAATAAATACTCATTAAGTTGTTTAGACAAAAGCATTTCATAAATAGAACTGATGGGTATTTCTATTGGCAGGGGAGTGCTGTGGAAAACGTACTAAACATGATGAGTACACTGAACACAGAAAGTTTGGGAGCCTCTGAGTTAGCATCTTGACCAAGGATATGGGTTGTCATGCATAAAAAAGAAACTTAATGGAAACTTTCTGAATGGATTTCTGTTACCAGTTTCTAGCTCTCACCTGGGTAAGTGGTCTGCCATCACTTGTTCTGCAACAGTCTGTTTCTTCTTCTCAGAAGCCACCATTTCCTAAGAAGAAAAAAGAAAGAAAATTTTATTGTCCATAAAGCAGAATAATATGATAATTAACACAAGAGCCCTAAAATATAAACCATTCATAGTACATGAGGCTGAAACTAAGTTGGAATTATTCAACCCTATATCACAAATCTGAACAAATAAACAAAAGCCTCCCACCATTAAAAGGATAATAGTATTTTCTATGCATATAACCCATTAATAATACTTGGTCAAATTTTCTTACTCTCACTATTTTGACTAAACTATCTTCATACTTCATACTATTTTTGCTTTTTAACATATCCAAAAGTATTTTTACTACATTTTAAATCATATCAAATTGATTTGTAATCATCCAATTCCAGTTAGATG